GTGTGAACTGGCCTAACCATTTTGGAGAACAATTTGGAACTTTGCCCAAAGGGCTATAAAAATGTGCATATACCCTTTGCCCCTCCAATACCACTGCTAGGTCTGTATGCTAAAGAGATCAAAGAAAAGGGAAAAAGACCTATATGTACAAAAGTATGTATAGCATCTCTTTTTGTTGTGGCAAAGAATTGGAAATCAAGGGGATGCTCATGAATTGGGGATGGTCAAACAACTTGTGGTATATGATTGTGATAGAATACTACTGTGCTAGAAGAAATGATGAGCAGGGTGGTTTCAGACAAACCTGGGAAGACTGTGACCTCATACAAAATGAATTGAGCAGAACCAGGAGAATATTATACATAGTAACAACAGTATTTTAAGGATGATCAACTGTGAAAGACTTAGGTGCTTTGATCAAGAGAGTGTTCTGAAGCAATTCTAAAGGTGCCATAATGAAAAATGTTACCTACCTCCAGAGAGAGAACTGATGAACTCTGAATGTAGATAGAAGCTTACTTTATGGGAGCCAAGATGGCAGAATAAAAAAGTAGTCGCTGTCACCCTCCCCTATCAACCTCTGAAAACCCAGAAAATATCACCCTAGGAAAAAAAAAACCTGGAACAGCTGAACTAGAAGATGGGTAACAACAGTGCAGCAGCCCAGCTAACCGATCTCCCAGTGCCTCAGCAAAAATAAGGGAAGCAGCACCACAAAGGGCCCAAGGTGGATAAGCGCTCTGCAGCATTCATCTGAAAGGAGCTGAAGAAAGCAACCTAGAGTCTTCCTAAAGTCCCAGCCTTGCTGATTCCAACTCAACACCAGGCAAGCTGTCAGAACCATACAGCTTCCAACTGTCAACCAGGAGGAAATCCTGAAGCCTCGGTGGAAGAGCAGGCAAATACCAACACCTGGACCTCTGAGTGCCTCACTGAGGGCAGGGGAACCGGTGGAAACCAGCTCAGAAAAACACCAGGTGCCTCGGCACTATACCTCAAAGGAATCTCCCACTGCATTAGCAGAAAGGAGGGAGGCAGCATAGTAAGGGGCCCCAGGCAGATAAACACCCTGCAGCACCCATCTAAAAGGAGCTGAAAAAAAGCTAAAGGAAAGGAAAAGCAGGCAACCTAGAATTGCCTGAAGGTTCCAGCCTTGCTGATTCCAGCTGCCAAAACCCTACAGCCTCCAATTGCCGATGTAAGAGGCTCCAGCACACAAAGCCAGTGACCAAGACCTAGGCTTCCAACACAAGAAGCTTTGGTACAGTGCCCTCTGTTCCCCAGCAGGAGAGCTCAATCTTTTTAAAGGCCAGGGAATAAAGAAACACCCTGAGTAAAAAGAAGTGTACCATAGATTCATATTATGAGAAGAATGAAGATCAAGACAGAAATTCTGAAGAGGACAACATTGTCAACAAACCCACATCTGCAACAACAAAAGGGAATATGAACTGGTCTGAAGCCCAAAAAGCCTTCTTAGAAGAGCTCAAGAAGGATTTTAATAGTCAAATGAGAGAGGTAGAAGAGTCCTTAAAAAATACAGGTTGGCCAATTGGAAAAAAAGTACACTGAAGAAAACAAGTCCCTAAAAAACACAATTGGCAAACTGGAAAAAAAGTACACTGAAGAAAACAAATCCCTTAAAAATACAATTGGCCAATTGAAGAAGGAAGTACAAAAACTAACAGAAGAAAACAATCTGTTAAAAACTAGAATTGGACAAATGGAAACTAATGACTCTATGAGAGAGCAAGAATCAGTCAAACAGAAACAAAAAAATGAAAAAATAGATGAAAACATAAAATACCTCATTGGTAAAACAGCCGACCTGGAAAATCGATCCAGGAGAGACAATTTAAAAATCACTGGACTACCTGAAAATCATGATGAAAAAAAGAGCCTGGACAGTATCTTTCAGGAAATCATAAAGGAAAACTGCCCTGAAGTCCTAGAACCAGAAGGTAAAATAACCATAGAAAGAATACACCACTCAAAACCTGAAAGAGATCCCAAATTGACAATGCCAAGGAATATAATAGCAAAATTCCAAAATTACCAGATGAAAGAGAAGGTGCTGCAAGCAGCCAGAAAGAAACAATTTAAATATCATGGAACCACAGTCAGGATTACACAGGACCTTGCAGCTTCTACATTAAAAGACCACAGGGCGTGGAACATGATATTCCATAAGGCAAAGGAGCTTGGATTGCAGCCAAGGATCAACTACCCAGTAAAAATGAGCATGATTTTTCAAGGGAGGGGATAGATATTCAACGAAATAGGGGACTTCCAAACCTTCCTCATAAAAAGACCAGAGCTCAACAAAAAATTTGATCTTCAAATACAAGATTCCAGAAAGACATAAAAAGGTAAATGGGACAGAAAGATACAAAATGTTGTTAATAAGGTGGACTGTTTACATCCCTACAAGGGAGGATAACACTTGCAGCTCTTGAGAACTGTATTGTTATTATGCCATGTTGAAGGAGTATACATAAAAGGGGTAGATATTAGTTGACTTTGATTTAAAAAAAAATCTAATCAAATGGGTTAAAGAGATCCAAGTAAGTGGATTAGTCTGATCTTAGAAAATGTACTGAGAAAGGAGGAGGCAGACAAGGGTAAATTACATTACAGGAAAAGACAGAAAATCTTATTACAGCAGAGGGAAAGAAGGGAGGGGGGTGAGCATTGTTTGAACCTTGATCTCATCAGATTTGGCTCATTAGAAGGGAATAACATAATCAGGTATGGAAATCTAACTTGCCCTACGGGCAGTAGGAGGGAAAAGGGGAAAGAAAGGGAGGGGGTGCGAAGGGGAAGGGAGGGAAGGGGATAATAGAAGGGAGGAGAAACTGAAGGAGACGGTGGTCAAAAGCAAAGTACTGGTAAGGGGGGGAAGTGTGAGAGGAGAAAGAAAAGCATAAACGGGGAAAAAAGGATGGAGAAGAAGACACAGATAATCATAACTGTGAAAGTTGAATCGCCATCTTTTTTTTTCTCTTCTGTTGAGTTTTGTTTTCTATTTCTGATGCTTCCTCTGTTGCTTTTAATTTTTACTCAGAACCTCACTAATATGTTTAATAGGAATGTAAATGTATAGCCTGTATCAGATTGTGCACCGTCTTGGGGAGAGTGGTGGGGAGGAAGGGGGAGAAAAATTTTAAACTCAAAAGCATATGGAAGTGATTGTTGATAAATCAAAATAAATTAATAAAATTAAAAGACAAACAAAAAACAAGCATACTTTAAAAAAACTTTCTTAATTTTTGTTTTTTCTTTTGAAGCATGACTCATGGAAATATATTTTGCATGACCTCATATATAAGTGATATCAAATTTCTCACCATCTCAAAGAGGGGGGTAGGGTGGGAGACAGGGAGAGAATTTGGAACTAAAAATGTTTTAAAATGATTGTTAAATTTTTCTTACATGTAATTGGTAAATATTTAGTGAAATAAAAATAAATTTAAAAAAAGTTTGTTGAATTGAATTACAATATTTTAGCTGTGAGGTTATGAAGGCCAAGACTGAATTGGTTACAATAGTAATGAAGCATAGTGTAGGGATTTGATATGTGTAGATTTGTTGAATTGAATCAAATCCTTCCTTGGGCTGAGGACATGGCTTTAGTTTACATAATTTTCACTGTATCTTAAATTCAAACAAAATAATTCAAGTTAAGGCAGTCAAAGAAAAAGTGTCAGAGAAGAAATTCTTTTTAATGTATGTTCCTTAAAAATACAAACTTAAATATTTTACTTACTGTTTTTTAGAAAAAGTTGTAGCATTATTGAAATTATACTGGAATGATGTTATAAAATAATCCCTTAATTGAGGGGATGCCCATCAATTGGAGAATGGCTGAACAAGTTATGGTATATGAATGTAATGGAATACTGTTATGTATAAGAAATGATGAGCAGGCAGATTTCAGAGAACCTGGAAAGACGTACATGAACTGATGCTGAATAAAGTGAGCAGAACCCAGGAGAACATTGTACACAGTAACAAGAACATTGTGCAGTGATCAACTATGACTGACTTAGTTCTCCTCAGCAATACAATGATCCAAGACAATTCCAAAAGACTCGTGATGGGAAAATGCTATCTATATCCAGAGAAAGAACTGATGGAGTATGAATGCAGATCGAAATACTGTTTTCACTTTCCTTATTTTTTTCCATGGTTTTTTCCCTTTTCTTGTTTCTTCTTTTACAACATGACTAATATGGAAATATGTTTTACATGATGGCACATATATAACCTATATCAGATTGCTTAATATCTTAGGGAGGAGGAAGATGAGGAGGGAGGGAGAAATTTTTGGAACTCAAAATTTATAAAAAATGAATATTGAAAATTATCTTTGCATGTAATTGGAAAAAATAAGATACTGTTAAAAAAATCCACTGTATTAGCAGTTTTGGTCCCTGAGAAAATACTCATACAATGCAGCACAAGATACTCTCAAATAAAATTTAAAGGCTAGTTTATTTGGAATTGGGGAGATGTGGAACAGTGAAGGCCTTTGCTGAAGGTTGAGGAAGGATGCTGCTTCAGAGGGGCCAAGAGAGATGTTGCTGCTCTCCAGTGTGGCCACGAGTATGGAGTATGGGGATGAGAGAGGTGAGCTGTACCATCTGGAGCTTCCTATTTTAACTAGAAGGAATATAAATGCTGTGAGCACTTCCTGCATGCAAGGTATATCAAAAGTTGTAGTGTTGCTACTACTTGAGTTACTTAATGTTTAAAACTGCACTGTGACTTTTGGGACACTGTATTTTGATGAAGTGGGACAAAGTTCAGGTCATCCTACCATTGCTAGAGCTCTGCCTATTATATAATTGTATATTAAGTGGGTCCAGGTTGGTTGGTTACTATAAATGCTTGAGGACCTCATGGAGTCAAAGGGCAATATTAGAGTAAGGTTCCAGGGTCTATTGGAAAGTTGAGTGAAATAAATTACTTTCTAGTCATTTTCTCATTTCTTTTTATAGGATGCCGACAGACAGCACCAAGAAGTAATTGCAATATATAGGACGCATCTTCTTAGTGCTGCACAGGTAAGTAGCCCCTTCCTCCTACCCCTTTTGTTAAATAAACTCTGTAAAAGTAATTGATGTTTAGAGTAGCTGAACCCCATATGCTTATTTAAAAATAATTGTGTTTCTTTTAGCCATGCTTGCGTATGTTCAGGAGGAAATTTTAAAAGCTATATGGCTACACAGCATATTAAATTTAGCGTTGTCTCCATCTGCTCATCGCTTAGTTTATAGACAGTTTGGCAACATACAGTGGTGACACACATTAATGGTGTTATCTGGAGATAATGCATTGCCATCAACATATCTCCTTATGCTGAAAAAATGGAGTCAAAAGAACTTAAGGCTTTTCTTGGGAGTTCAGAAAAGTCCTGTATATTTCAGCAGAGGGCTTTGATCATTTGAAAAATAGCACGTGCACAGCACTACATTGGATTTTAAATAAGAGAATAATTTGACTTTGGAAAATTTTTTTCTTTACTACTGAGCTCAGTGAAGCCCAAGATAGAAAAATTTTCTATCTGTGTAAAATTAATATGAAAATGAGAAAAACATTTTGCAATAACATACTCAGAAAAGTGGTTGTATGTGAATACTGTATGTCATTCACCACAGGAACTCTTTAACCAATACTTTATCTGCCATATCCTCCACCTTTCCTCCCAATAGTTTTTGAGGAAGGCTTGTTAAAAAGGCAAAACCATTACATGTTAGATGAAAAAAAAATAGGAATTGTTTTCATAAATGGACAGTATCAGATCATGGAGACATGGGTAGTAGAGGTGGAAGGAAAGATTAGAAGAAAAGTGATGATGGAGATAATAAAGAAAAGGCACTAGGTGAGTAGTATAAACAAGAACAAGCAGAGCAGATGACAAGGAGCCCTTAAAAAGAAAGACCTTGAACTTGAAGAATGAATATTATAGGAGATAGATACTTTTGGTAATACTGTTTTGAAATCACAGAAAATGTGGCAGTTGAACACATTGTAGTATTTGATACAGGAGCTTGATAAACAAGTGAGCTAAGGTTTTGTAATGGGAATGTGGAGGAAGAGGTATGAATTGAGTGAAAAGACATGTATTTTAGAGGGGAGAGTGAGTCATTTGGGTTGGGTATTGACTAAAGTAGACACAACAGTTTCTTCCAAACTAACACCCCAGATTTCATGGTTATTTCTTTTGAAGCAGTAATAATGAATCTTAGATATTATATTTCTGTTTTTAACTTTTTTTTTCTTGTGCTGACTACTAATGCAACACAAAACAAAAGCAATTGGCGTCTGAAAAATCTTGCCTTCTGGCACATAAAGTTAACTAAGAAATTCAGTTTAGTCAACTATGGCTAATGTTTGAAATTTAAACATCCTGCTGTTACAGAAACAGATTTTGGAAGAGAAACCTTTTATATTAATAGGAAGTGTTGTGCTGTAATCTATTTAAGTTTTGAATCCTAAAACGGGATGAAGGCCATATTGGCTTTTTGCATTTAATCACACAACTCTTTTTAAATTTAAAATTTCTCTCTCTAATTTTTTCCCCTAATTTATAACTTCGTGCTGCCCCTAACACCTTACTTTGCTTACTCAAAAAGATAATAATGATAATTTTCTTTCTTTAGAGGTAGGAAAAAAATCCACATTCTGAAACTGTATTGTTAGTCTCTGTTCTCATGTTCATATTGCTCCCCTGCTTCCAGTGATTAGTAATAGTACCTTACTGTTATTGCTACGTTATTGCAAATATGTTCATACTACAGCTGTACATGTTTACATGTTTACTCTTCATGCCAAGAATATGGCTTTTGATCAGTCACACAACATATTACACTCTTCTAAAGCCCTTTTCAGTTTTAGCATTTTTTGGAAATGAAGGTGATTTAAAGCTTTACTGCTCTACTTTGAAGGGTCACATGGATGAAGATGTTCAAGCTGCCTTACTACAGATCATCCGCATGAGGCAGGGGCTTGTTTGCTAGAGTACTTAGTCGTGATGTGGTGAACAACTGCTTTACCTTCTTGCTATGGGTCTTACTGTATTAGCATAACTGAAATTAAATGTACTTTTTTTTTCTAGTAGGAAAAAATGAAATGAGAAAGATGTCTGTTGCTATTACAGTATCATCAATTTATGTTATATTCCAAATGTATTTATTGTGTATTTTGAGGAAATTTAGAATATTTAAAATTATTACAAATTTTATAGTCAAAATAATGACACAGTTGATTGCTACTACTGATGTCATAGTGACTACTTTAAAAAAAACTTTGGTGCCCATTAGAAAACATGAAATCAGTTATAAATGAGTCCATATAAATTTTTTTCCAGCTAAAACAGGTTGTTTAGAGTTCTTTTAGAGCATTCAAGTTGGTAGCTACTTTTGAGTGAATCAAGACACCTCCTTCTGGTCTTTAGTAGAGCAGTGTCAAATAAGATGTGATGTAGTGTCGAGAAATGTATTGTAACTTGGCTGGCCAAGTTGCATTTCTATTTAAGTAACTTAAATTTAAGTGCCTTTTCTTTTACTAGAGGTACAGATTTTCTCCTCATACACTAATAAATTTTATGCTTTTTTTTTACAGAGATATTTTTGCCTTAATGCTTTGTAACTGATTATATTTAGATTAGGAATAGCTGGGCTGGATCTTATCAGGAGTTTCAAAATTATCTGTTAATTTCCAGTACAGTGTCTTAATTTTTACTTAAAATAGTGATTTTTCATGCTCTGATGATTAAAGAACTCTTTGATAAATTATGTGCTAGATTCCTTAAAGTGTCAGATCTTTAGCAACAACTTTAAAATTTTGCCACTATAATAACTAAAATAGATATTAAGTGTCTTGCAACTGTTTCAAGTTTATTTATAGGAAAGTTGCACCGAGAGGCGATTATATTTTGACATCTACCTTTTTTGCAAATTAAACATAAAAACTTGCCTTTGTGATTTTAATGGAAAATACAATTGTTAAAGGTGAAAATTGCAAGAATTCTCTATATCAAAAAAGTTTGATATGCTGATAGTAAACAGTCTAGTAGAACCAGCTGTTTAATATATCTCACTATAAAAAGCTTAACTGTCATAATTTTATTATTAATATTGTTTACTCTTCAAATGGGGGGGGGAGTTTCCCTGTTTATACCAAACAAGGCCAAAAGAATAACTATTTCAAGCCAAGTTTTCTTGCATTAAAGAGAATGTGACTTTCCCTAGAGGGTTAGTGCTTTCTGAGACAGATTGTGGGTCTAGGTGTCTGACAAAGCTCAGGGCCAAATGCCATCAAAATGGAAACTATCAAAATGGAAACTGCCGCCTAGAGAAAACTGGCCTCATTTGCTAAATGGAGGGCTATAGCTGGAATAGGAATTTCTAAGCTGTATTTTTCAAAAAACTCATTAATGTAGTGTTAAATTTTTCATAAGGAATATTTAACTCTTTTATTAGCATGATTAATGCTGCTCTTCTGTTCTAACATCTAAGTGGAATCTCTTAGAATACAAATTGTAAGGGTGCATATGTTAAATTTAAGTTTTAATTTGCCTTTTGTAATTTTGTTGAAACTCTTACTAGAGAGAAGTTGCTAAACTGAAAGTGACATTTCAAAATTGTATTTTCCTAATTTTTGGGAAACTGTGTATTTTATTTCTCCTGTATCCATCAATAAAATGCTGCTTTCAATGAATTATGGCTCTAATATCTTTGTAACAGATAGATTGATTAAAATAACTTCCTCATAGCCTCCTAGTGATTAGAACAAAGTGGGAATCAACTTTAAGATCTAGTGTTAGCCACCCAAAATGAAAACATGTGTACCTGCTGTACTTGGATCAACTGTACTTCTTCCCTTTGTTGTTTTTTTTTATGTTTATGTTTAAAACTCCACTTACAAGATTGAAACATAAAACTCTTTTTTTGTAAAAGAAACTGATCACATGTAATGGATGGTTTTAGTTTTTCCTCCCTTATCTTTTAGAGGGATCATGTGTTGTGAGCATAGAGTTAAAAGTAAAATAAATCATTGACCAGATTTTTGTGAGTGTTCACTAAAGGCTGCAAAATTTCCATTTTATTTTAGGACATTCATGAAAAATTTCCCTAGTGTCTTTCTTCCTCCCTTTCCTACCCGAAAGAAAAAAAATTTGATTTTCTTTGTTAGCAAGCCAGTGTTATAAAAAGAAGGGTTTGATACAATAAAGAGATCAAACACCTGCATCAGAAAATACAGTAATTTCTAGTACTGTGCTGAATGTGTGTGTTAACTCTACCAGTGCTGTTCTAATTTAAAAATGAATTTGGCTCCATTTTAGGGGTGGAATTTTTATTAAAATGGGCTATTCTTCTTGCTGTATATTGACAGTTTCACATCGTTTGAATTTTCCTGTTATTCCAAATGTATTTGCTTATCTCTGCTTTTAAAACCCTCTATCTCAGAGGGGCTCCTTTATGAGGACTTAATGACAATCCTTATCCATAGCTATGTACCTATCAAGCCATCACTATTCTTCATTTTATTTGTTCTAATATTGAAAAAGAAAGAGTTTAAGATTTGGTTTCTCAGGTCTTGATGACTGAGTAATACCATTGAATTAATTATTTTAAATTACCTCAGGGCCAGAGAAAAACCAATACTTCCTAATGTCTTAAAACACACACACACACACACACACACACACACACACACACACACACACACCACAACACACACACACTCTATTGTGAAAGCTTTTATTTGTTCCTTCTTTCCTTTCCCTCCTCCTCCCACCAAGTTCTATCTTATTAACTAGTAGTCACTCTAGAGAATTTGGAAGAAAGCTACTATTTGCAGAGTTTAAAATCATTTGATATAAAATTGTGGTTGTATGTTTGCATGGATTTCTCCCCCCCCCCCGGAAGGATATAAATTAATGCACTCTTCCTAGTCAGGGTCAGTGTCCTTTATTAATGACAGAAAAAGCGAAAGTTAGAATTGGAAACAGGTACTGTGTACACTGAAGAATTTGTTCATTAGAAACCACAAAATAGAAAAAAAAATTGATATTTCAGTTCTTCTTTGATTCAGTGATGTGCAGGAGTGTCTAAACCACCTTCATCAATTAAATGTTCACATGCTTCTTGTTGCATAGTGTCTGATTCTTTCTATTTGGACTTTTAGCTCAAATCAAGAATGCAGAGTGTAAAAAAAAAACAGGCTTCTGTGGTGACAGTGACATCCCAACAAGCCTTCCTTTGCAGGAGTAATGCATATATTTAGCATAATTAGGTATGTGGCGTCACCTATGTATTAAAGGGCATTTTCATTATTTATGGCTTCCTGAACAAACATCAGTGATGAATGAATTCAAGCAAAAAGGGAAGGTCACAAAATGTCACATGTAAATAAAATACAGTCCAGACTAGTGAGGGTTGTTTTCTTAGCAAATATATACATACATACATATGTGTGTGTGTGTGTGTGTGTATTTTATTCTATTCAGTGAAACAGTGGAAGAAACATCAATAAAAATAATGTTTCTTATAATTGATAGTTGGCACCAAGTTGTTGTACTTAATGGACCCAATTTTTATTTTATTTTTAAAGCTGGTTCACAATTTTTTTTCCTTCAAAGAGCAGCCTTGGGAATATTGTGAATTCTGCAAAGAGTTTATAGAGGTTATTGCCTTCTTAATAATTTATAGCTCCTATTGCTCTGCCAAGTCAGAAAATTAACATTTAATAGAAAAAATTATATATCTATGATTCAGTCACAGCTATTAGATCAGATGGATTTTACATTAAGTGAAAAAGATGTTGAGCATTTAAGGGCCATTAAACTACAGGACTCTTTTATTGGATTCTGAAGCCTCCAAGCCAGGACCCTGCTGTGAAGAGTATTTATTTTTATATATACAGAACACATTAGATGATAGAGAAAGGGCACACATCTTAAAAGAAAATAGAGCATGAAAAAGTGTGATTTTCCACATTGTGAGCAACTGCCATACAAATTTAGTCTTGTTTCATAATAATTAGTTTTATGCATCATTAAGTAATAATTTTCTTATGGATTGAAATAATACAGTAGAGGCCACTTTAAAAGTAGTACCTGTAGGAAATCAAAGTAGCCTACTACACACTATTGTTGAAATTTCACTGCAGGAAAACATATTTGCAGTAGCTTTGGGGATGATCAGGGTCACCATACTATTGGAAAGAATTTAATTTTAAATAAATATCTTCTGTCTTCCATGAAAAAGTAACTATTGCAAATTCAGTGAAATCTCATGGTACTGACACCTGTTTTCCTACAATTTGCACATGTAATTGAAGAATTATATTTCCTGTGTTGCTAATATAGAAAATTAAAAATGTTCAGTTTTCAAAAATACATGGCAAAAAACCTCATTGCTGTGAAATTAGCCCTGATGAACAGGCTGACCGAATTCTTTACAAGATGCTTAACATCCTTGAAGCAGGAACATTTCACAGACAGAAGTCTGATCAGCAAATGTTGAGCTGGAACAAGGCGTTAGAGATCGCTTAGTCCAATACTCATTTTACAATTAGGGAGCAGACCCAGAGAAATGATGAGACTTGTTGAAGCTAACATTACTAGTTAGTGACAGATATGGCACAAGACTTCAGGTTTTCGATTGTTAATTCAGTAGTCTTTACTACATTATTCTGCCTCTACAGATGATGTTAACAAGCGCTTAATTCCTGTTGAGGCACTCTTGAACTGATGCCCACGTTAATATCTAGGAGGAATCTGAGAAGGTTCTCCAATGTTGCCTGGATGAAGAAAGTCTATAGTTGTCGTTCCTGTGTTTGCAATGTGCTTTATTTTCATTAATATTTAAGTGTGTCCAGTAATATATATTTTTAAAAATTTCTCAGTTTGAACTTTTAAAATATTTGCAACATGTCCCTTACCACTCAGACTTCCCTCCAAAAGCAGTGAAATGAAAGAAGGGTATTTAATGTAAGGGTGTTTATGAAAGCAGCATTGCTTTAACGTAGTTGAATGCAGTTTGCAAAGATTTTTCCTTTTCATAAGTCAAACAACTAGACATTGTGACTTTATGTTCTTGGGAACCCTGGATTGTTGCTAACTCATGTGGCACCTTATGGTCTGCTTTAAAAATTCTTTGCATGGTTTAAAAATGAAACTACTTCTTATTCAGACTCTTCCTTATGAAATGAATGGTAAGCCAAAATAAAAGCCCAACTGTTACCTTTTTACATTTCCCTCCGCATTGCTGCCTCACAAACATTGTCTCACTTCTTATGGGAGTTTGATTATCTCATTTATGCACAATTAAAAATAAGTCTTCTCGGTACAAGTAGTGGGAGAAGTGGGGAATGTCCCACTGCTTCTAACTCAACTAGTAAGTATTAAAGCTGATTCATACTTCTCAAATAGCTGTTGCTCTCATGAGGATTTTTCAAACTGAATTGTTCTAGTTGTTTGGTCTTAATCTCCATGCAGTTTTGTTCTCTTTAAAACCATCTTTATTTGATGCCAGCCATTCATATTGAAAAACATTCCCCAGCTACTAACCACATCTTTGTATGAAATCATCTGTTATGGACAGATATATTTAAGAGGATTAGCTATCTGTAGTTACCCAAAACAGTATTTGTTAAAATGGTCAATATACAACCTTATTATTTCTATTGTGTATGTGACCACTGTGTTGCGTCAGAACCTAAGGTAAAACAAGGGAATTGGGATAACTTAAAAGGGTTTTACTTTGACCTAATGATGCCAACCACATTGATATAGTCACATGGCTTGCAAGCCTTGAAACTAATTCCTTAATGCCCACTTTTTTTTCTGTTTCTTCAGAACTTTTTGGTCAGTCTCTCCCTCTACATTTTCTAAAAGGGAGAATTTGAAAAAAAAACTTAATTAAAATCTAATTTAAGCCTTACAGAAGGGATAGGAACCAATCTTATGAGTTAGTGACCATCTAGCTAGGCAGAAGAATCCTTATGAATTCCTTTCCCCTCACCAATAATCCCCAAATCATGTCCAGCAGATGTGGGAATTTCCTCTTTATGGGCCCCATATGAAGTCTGCTTAGGTAATATTAACCTAGAGTTTGAGATGAATGGAAAGAAAGGAAATGATTAGTTTTAACCCTTTAACACTTGACCCTGATTCTAGGGGAACCAAAGGTAACAAAGAGGAAGGTGAAAGAAAAAAAGAGGAATGCATCCCTAGTATATTTTTGCAAAAGGAAAGGAGTGGAAAACTGCCCAAAGCAGAACCAGATTGTTGTTTCCTTTGCTTACACTTATCTCCTCCATTTTGGGATTCAAAATGCTACCCTGCATCTCAATTAGACAATAATAAGCCCGATTTCTTTTTTGAGGCTTGCCAATTTAGCTTCTCTTAGAATTTTCCCAGATGCTTCTGATTACCCATTAGAGGCCCAAACACTCCTTAATTTCCCAAAGAGTAATGCTTAAAAAATTAATATCAAAGTCATTTGGAGTTCAGAATATATTTTTTCATAAAAATAAATTCACATGTGGTGGTTAGAGTTCCTTCCAGGAACATTAAACTCTGTTGGGGCACACTTCTGTGTGTACCACAAAGTGGTATTATTGACTTTTTTACTCCTTTGAAGAGATTCACCTCTGTAATATAATGGTCTAGCCCATGAGTTTTATTAACCTGCTATCCAGTGGATAGATTTTAGGAGGTCCTGAATTTTTTTTTAATAACTATTTCAATATAATTGGTTTCCTTTGTAATTCTATGTATTTTATGCATTTAAAAACATTCTGAGGAGGGATCTATAGGTTTCATAAGAGTGCCCAAGATTTTCATGACCCAAAAGGCCTAGCCTATAACAAACACCAGCCCACAAGTTCTGATTCACCTAGTGCTTCAGGTAGCCTCAGGGTTTGAGGAAAAACTGCCCCCTTTATTAGGACTGTTGGCAGTAGCCCCTGTCTGTCCCCACAGGTCAATTACTCTGCTTCTTTAATTATGGTAACACTTATTAAATTTCATTTCATTAGAGTCTGATTGATGATTATGATTGTTGAAATCTTTAGTTTTGATTCCGTCAGTATATTGGTTATGCTAGCATTGTGTCATTTAAATTTAATAAGTATACCAATTCTGCTTTCATCTTAGTAACTAATAAAAATGTTGCAAAGAACAGTACCCAGGATGAAGCCCTGGAACATTTCACTTGAAACAACATCTATACATTAATCACACAACTTGGGTCTGTTCATTCAACCTGTTCCAAAACATCCAAGAGAGAGACTGATCCATTGGATACTTTGGAACAGGTTGAATGACCAGACCCAAAGAGTCTCCCTCTTTCCCTTCCTCTCCCTTTTCTGCTCACTCTCCCTCTTTCAATGCAAATCAAAACAACTCCAAAGTTTCATTTCACACCTAGCAAACTGGCAAAGATCACAAAAGGTTGTTAGTCAATGTTGAGGGGCTTGTGATAAGATGAGTAAGTTAATACAGTGAGGAGCTATGAGTTGTTGAACTATTTTGGAAAGCAGTTTGGAATAATGCAAAGAAAATTACTAAAATGTTTATTCCTTTGACCCAGAGATTTTATTGTTAGATATATTCCCCAAGGAGATCAGTAACCAAAAGGGGTTTCCATATACATTAAAGTATAGCAGCACTTTTTGTAGTAGCAGAAACTGGTGACAAAATATCAAGTGGGGAATGGCTAAACAAATGTGGTACATGAAAGTGATGGAATATTACTGTCCTGAAAGAAAGAAAAAATGAATGTGGTAAATACAGAGAAGCATGTGAAAACATATAAACTGATGTAATTAAGTAAGAATAAGGGGGAAAATATCAACAAAGATTAATATAAAAGGATATTATAATAAGCTAATTGAAACTGAACACTATGAAATTATAATGACCAAATTTGATCCCGAAGAGATATGAGAAGGTTCTTCCCCCAACTTCTTGGCAGAGGTAGGGGAATATGGAATGTGGAATGCTACAAATGTCAGACTTTAAAATATATTGGTTAGTTTTGTTGAACTATGTGGCTTTTCTCCTTTTTATTGGGAAATATAGGTGTTATAAAAACAAGACATCAATAAAATATTTTACAATGAATGGAAAAGTTCATTTTAAAAGGTGCAGATTAAACTCTGCACCCCCCCCCACACCCTTTTAACAGGTAGATCAAGAAAATGTTGTAGACATAGTGTTCCTAGATTTAAGCATGGCATTTGACAAAGTTTCTCATCCTATCCTTGAGGACAAGATGGAAAGATGATTGCTAGATGACAGTATACTCAGGTGGATTCAGAACAGGTTGAATATTTGAAAGCTAATGGTAATTTAAAACAAAAGATAGAAGAAATAGTAAGGAAACTATTATTCTAATTTTGGTTCTGACCAGCAAGGAGAAATTGGTTGGTGAAGTGGAAATAATGAAAATCTTATGTTTTTTCCACCTCTTTGCCCATTCTACTAAGAATTCTGTTCCACTTCATCCCTGCTTCAAAAAAAAATCTGTTTTCTAGGTCCAAATTCCCCCTTGATCCTCTAGCCAGAAATGATCTCTTCCTTTGAACTCCTCCTGTAATACACATTATCCATACACCTATTATACACTGCCTTGGAGTCATTATTGGGCCACCTGTTTGATCTTCACTAGTTTGTCATCTCCTGGAGAATAAATGAGTCTTGTACTCCTTTGTATCATCCATAGTATATAGTAGGCTCTTGGTAAGTGTTTTTAAATTAATAATGAGTGATCAAAAGTGGTAGAAGGGAGGGATGAGTGAGTAGATCAATTGTGAGATTTCCCTGTAAGCTTTTTTGGATTGTTTTCTTACCCAACCTATGGGAAATAAATCGACTCCAAATAGTGAATGAGGAAGCAGTCAAGTTGCACTCACCTATATTTCACTTGTTAGGATGGAAAAGCATCAATTTTCTCTTCTGATTTTGCCCAAAGATATGTTAATGGGTTTTATGGGGGCAGCTTGTTTTGCCCAACCTGTTTCCTCTTGTGAAGGTCAGTGAGAAACATTAAAGTCAAAAAGCAGTAGTTGACAGTATGATTTTCCAAGTAGAATACTTGAAGATCTATTTTTGTTGGATGGCAAGGTGTTAGATGGCAGCATCCATGTTCTCTCGGCCTCAGTTTCCTCGTTGGTTAAAAAAAAAAGAAAAAGAATGGCATTACTTGATGAAGTCCCGGTTTTCACATTTCTCAGACGTGGATATATCCCTGGCTTGTTTTCTGATTTACTGTGTAACTTTGGGCTAATCATGTCCCTACTATTTTTTTTTTACCAATTTATAAAACTAGGGATACATTACAAATATTGTGTGTGGGGAGGAGGGGGGAGTTGTACCCTCTGGTGCATAATAATGTCATGGAATGCTCCTTAGCAGAGAGGAGGTGGGAAGCAGCTGTGGGTAATGTGAATGACCCCATCTATTTCTAGGGGTGGAGTAATATAGTTAGGGAGGAATTGGAAATTATGTTAAGGTTTTAGACTCCCAGAAGTGCTGACATAGGTGGGAAATTCTTTTTCCATGCTCAAAAAGAAGATATTAGACTGAGGAGAGAATAAGTAACCAGCTAAGAGATGAGAGGGGTAATTATGTTCCTAATTCTTAGTAGGACTTTTGCATAAACTCAAGCAATGGGACCCATAATACAAGGGACTGTCTTTGGAGTGGATTCAACTTGATATAGCACTACCTTTGAGTTCTGCACAAAGAGAACATGTGTCTCTTGTGCAACGGGAAAACTAAAATATCCATCTCCACTTTGCAGTATGGAAGCAGAACCTATAATAATAGTGAAGCTTCTCTCCTAGGGAAGAAAGAAGGCCTGTGGTGCCACCTTCTCTGAACCACAGATAATTATAAGCAAAATGATGCTGAGGAGATCACAGACTGGCAGGGTCAAGCAACACCATCTGCTGAGATTTGTAGAGAGTAGGAAGGGTGATGGTAGGGAGCAACAATTGATACCACCTACTGAGAACTCTGGGGCATGACTCATTAATTGAGGTCTCCAGGAAGGGATGTCTTGGGAAATTTTGCCCATTGGCAGGAGTCAACATTTTTCATGAGCCTTGATATGAATTATATTTGTGTTATTTCACCTATAAATAACCTTTTTTTTTTTGAGTTTTGTGAACTACTTGAAAGAAGTGTTGGTGGTAGTTCACTAGAAAATGTCATATTGTGAGGAACCCAGAATTTCTGGCTTAAGAAAAGTGAGAGAGATGGAGCTACGATGGTAGAGTAGAGGGAGCATTGCATCTACACTCTTCCTATATTCCCCTCTGAACAACTTTAAAATAACATGTCAAATTGAATTCTGGAGCAGCATAGCCAGCAAAAGATTGAAGTAAGACAGTTTTCCCACCCAAGACAATATAGGGGGTTAGAAAAATAGTTCTGTGATACTGGGGTGGAGACTGGCCTAGAATGCATTGCTTGCTGTTTCAAGGGAGTGGGGGGCCCTTCTTGGGTAAGGACCAAGATGCAACCAGGAGAGTGGTCTACCTACCTCTCTCCAGAACACACTACCTTGGAAGGACCAGAAACTTACAGATCCCCGGTAATAGTTGTGAAAACAGCAGGATGAAAAAGTCTGCCCCCATTCCCCAGGTAAGCAAAGCCCCACTCTAACAAAACCCAAAGTCAAGAAATAGGTAGAAAAGCAACAACAGCAACAACAAACTCTGATTACAAAAAGCTACCATGTTGACAGAGAAGCTAAAGACACAAACTCAGAAGGCAGTGATGTGAAAACTTCTACAAGCAAAACTTCAAAGAAAAATGCAGATTGGACACAAGTTCAACAAGAATTCATAGAGTAGCTAAAGAAAGAGGTAAAAAGATTTTAAAAATTAAGAGTGGTGGCAGAAAAATTGGGAAAAGCAATGAGAGCAATGTAAAAAATGAAAAGAGAATTAACCACTTGGTAAAAGAGGCACAAAAATACTGAAGAAATTAACTCCCCCCCACAGAAAAAAAAACAACCAGAATTGGGCAAATAGAAAAAGGTACTCACTGAAGAAAACAGTTCCTTAAAATTAGAATTGGTCAAGTGGAAGCTAATGATTCCATGAGAAAAATCAAAAGAATGGAAAATAGAAAGAAAACATGAAATATCTCATTGGAAAAACAACTGACATAGAAAATAGATTGAGGAGAGATAATATAAAAATTATAGGAGTACCTGAAATCCATGTTAAAAAAAAAGATCTTAGATGTAATATTTTAAGAATTATGAAGAAAAACTGCCCAGACGTTTTAGAAGCAGAGGGCAAAATAGAAATGGAAAGAATCTACCAATCACTTCCTAAGATTACTAAATGAAAACTTCCAGGAAAATTAACCCAAATTCCAGAGTTACCAGAGTAAGGAGAAAATATTGCAAGCAAACAGAAACTATTCAAGTACCATAGAGCCACAGTCAGGATCACATAAGATTTAAAAGCTACCACGTTAAAAGAGAGGAAGGTTTAGAATATGATATTCCAAAAGTGAATGAACTAGAATTACAACCAACAATAACCTACTCGATAAAACTAAGTATAATTGTTCAGGGGGGAAATGGTCATTAAATGAAATATAGGGCTTTTAAGCATTCCTGATGAAAAGACCAGAGCTGAATAGAAAATTTGACATTCAAACACAGGACTCAAACAAAAAAGGTAAACATGAAAGAGAAATCATAAGGCACTCAAAGTTAAACTGTTTATATTCCTATGTGGAAAGATGACATATGTAATTCCTAAGAACCTGATCATTATCAAGGCAAGTTAGAAGGCATCTACATAGAGGGTATGGGTGTGAGTCTGTTGTGTTGGGAAGATCACAAAAAAAGGATGGAAAGATGAGAAACAGGGATGCCCTGTGAGAAGGGGGATGGAAGAAGAAGTATGGGGGAAATTTCCCTTAAAATAGGTGGGGGACAGCTAGGTGGCACAGTGGATAGAACTCTGGCTTTGGAGTCAGTTCAAATCTGTCCTCAGACACTTGATACTTACCAGCTGTGTGACCCTGGGCAAGTCACTTAACCCCAATTGCCTCACCAAAAAAAAAAAAGAGGTAAGCAATAGAGTTTTTATAGTGGAAGGGAAAAAGGGGAGAAGTAATGGACAACACTTTAATCTCACTCATCTGAACTGGTCCAAAGAGGGAAGACTACACACACACACACACACACACACACACAGATGTAGAAGTCTATCTTACCCAACAGCCAAGTAGAAGAGGAAATGGCTATGAGAAAAGAGGTTGGGGTGATAAGAGGGTCAGAAGCAAAACAGACTTTTGAGGAGGGACAGAGTGAAAAGAGAGAGGGAAGGATAAATAGAGGAAAATAGAATGGAGGGAAATGCACAGTAGTCATAACTGTGAATGTAAATGTGATGAACTCACCCATAAAATGGAAGCAGATAGCAAAATGGATTAGAAACCAAGATCAAACAATATGTCATTTCCAAGAAATGTTTAAAATAGAAAGATGCGCAGAGTTAAACTAAGGGGCTGGAACAGAACCTACTATATTTCAGATGAAGTAAAAAGGTAGGGATAGCAATCATGATTTCAGACAAAGCAAAAGCAAAAATGCACCTAATTAAAAGAGATAATTAAAGAAACTTTTGCTAAAAGGTACTGTAAGCAATGAAGTAAAACCAATACTAAAGATACATGCACCAATGGCAGAGCATCCAAATTCTTAAAGGAAAAGTTAAATGAGTTAAGGGAGGAAATAGAGTGTAAAACTAGAGTAGTGGGAGACATCAAGTTATATTTCTCAGAATTAGATAAATCTAACCACAAAATAAATCAGAAAAAAGTTGAGGATGAATAAAATTTTAGAAAAATTAGATGGAGAAAACTGAATGGGAATAGAAAGGAGCATACCTATTTTTTTTCTCAGTTGTACATGGCACCTTCACAAAAATTGACCATATATTAGGGCATAAAAGCTTTGTAAACAAATGCAGAAAAGCAGAAATATTAAATGCACCCTTTTCAGATCATAATATAATAAAAATTACATTCAATAAGGGGTCTTAGAAGCAGAGATTAAAAATTAATGGACAATTAAATAATCTAATTTGGAACTGTGGGCTATAAAACTGTGCATACCCTTTGGTCCAGCAATATCACTACTAGGTCTGTATCTCAAAGAGATCAAGGAAAAAGGAAAAGAACCTATATTTATGAAAATATGTATTGCAGTTCTTTTTGTTGTGGCAAAGAATTGAAAATTGAGGGGATGCCCATCAGCTGGAGAATGGCTAAACAAGTTCTGGTTAATGATCATGTTGGAATGTTATTGTACTATAAGAAACGATGAGGGGATAGATTCAGAAAAATTTGGGAAGACGTATATGAACTAATGGAAAATGAAGTGAGCAAAACCAAGAGAACATCGTAAGCAGTAACAGAAATATTATAGCATTAATCAACTGTGAAAGACTTAGCTACTTTGATTAATACAGTGGTCCAAGACAACTCATGACAAAAAATGCTATCCACCTCCAGAACTCTGAGTGTAGATTGAAGAATATATTTTTCACTTTCTTTATTTTTCTTGCTTTTATTTTTTTGGCAACATGGCTAATATGGAAATGTTTCACATGACTTCACATATATAGTATCATATTGCTTGCCTTCTCAGGTAGGGGAGAGGCTAGACAATTTGAAATTCAAAAGAGAAAAAAAAGAATGTTAAAAAAAGCAGTCAGAATTTTCCCCAAACTAGTCTAGGTCTTTGGTGTTGTGTGGAGACTTTATAGTATAGTATAGAGAGCACTGCATTTAGAATCTGGGGATCGGAATTTGAATCTTAGTTCTGCCACTATTAGTTGATTTATCTGGGACAAGACACTAAACTTACCTGAGCCTCAGTTTCTTTATCTATAAAACAAGGCAGTTGATCTAGATGGTATCTATGATCCCTTCCAGCTCTAAAGCTATGAACCAATTTTACAAGAATTACATGAACAAAATGATAGCTTGCTTCCAGGCTAACAGAAATATATGTAAGTATTAAACTAATTGGCACTCCTTGGAAAATATTACCTATTTTTTTGTGGGGAGAGTAGGGAATTATATATTCCGCTTTCCCAACACTAGTAGTTTAGGGTTAGGTCTTGGTTAC